AAACCATAAACCATCTTTTTAAATGAGACATACAGCAGGAAAATAAGTATTGAACACATGACCATTTTTCTCGGACAACATATTTCTTAAGTTGCTGTTGACTTGAAATTTTGATGTTGGTAACAACTAAAGAAATCCACATAAGCAAAGAAAACAAATCTAAATTGGTTTACAGATGAAGTTATGTGTAATAATATGAAATGACGCAGGGAAAAAGTATTGAACACATGAAGAAAGGGAGATGCAGAAAGCCAGTGAAAGCCCAGACAGCAGATGAAATCTCTCAGTAGTTCTTCAGCAACCCTCTGCCCTTCATCAGTGTAAATTAATATTAGCTGCTTCAGTCCAACATCTAGCAGGATGATGAAGATTAAACCAGGGTGAACATTTCAGCAAGACAATGATCCAAAACACAGCCAAGGACACTCACAAATGCTATCAGAGAAAGAAAATCAAACTGTAGAATGGCCCAACCAATCACCTGATCCAAATCCAATTAAAAATACAAAATAAAGATCAGATTTGACAGAAGAGACCCACAGAATTTTACACTCTGTTGAAGTCTGTAAAAAACTCACACCTGAGCCATTCATGTGACTTCATTCTCCATATGAGAGGTGTCTTTAAGCTGCCAACACAATTTTTTACTAAAATCTGGTTCAATTCCATGTCAACAGCTCCTTTAGAAATATTATTCCCAGGAAAAAACATGCAATCAATACTTATTTTCCCTGCTGTATGCCCGCTAGCTTTGCTTAACACTGCAAACCCAGAGTCAGTTTCTCTTCACTGCTCAGAATGCAAATACAGGAAGTTGGGCTTTTTGTTGCCACAACAATCACTGTTAGAGCAGTAAAGAAGAAGAAGCGGGTAAAACTCATTTTATTTTAAAGATGTCTTTGAAGTTTAAGTTTAAAAGGGGTCATTTTTCTATATTATTCATATAATTTTTTTTATATTTCTTTATTTTTGCACTGATTTTTATGCAGTTATACTGTAAAACTTGGATCAATTTTTTGTAGTGTTTGATTTGTGGCTGAACTTGTTTTAGTAAAGTACAGTAAATACTATTACTGTTGAATGTCTGATAATAAAAAATGTCTGATAATAAAAAATACTCTAGTTTGCTGTATGCATGGCTCTTTCTGAAAAATGTACCACTATATACATTTCTGGAGAGCGCCAAATACATCCCAGGAGCTACGTTTTTATTTGATTTATTTTTTTTATTTTTTGTAGTTTTTGTGAATCCACCAGAGGCCGCTGTGTATGCTTTTTGAGATCTCAAATTTTTCTCGCGAGTGCCATTCATGCCTGCTGTCCTCGCCTAAATCCACCAGAGGTTGCTGTTAACTGACTGACTGACCGATCTGTTTTCCTAAACCCAACCAATATTTTTTCAAAAGCACCGATCGACCTGCCCACCCACTTCACTAAACCCAACCAACAATTTTATAAAGCAATCCAGAAAAAGAAAAGCCCTCGCCTGATTTTTTACCACGTTTTCAGATTTTACCACATTCTCACCCTGTTATTTACTTGTTTATTTTATTTTTTGGCTTCTGTTTTTGTCTTATCTGCTTTCTGGAACCCTATCGTGGTCAACTACTCTCTGCGTCTCAGGTCCACCGACATACACGGCGAGCCACTGGCCAAACAGGTAACAGCAGGTAAGCAGTCAGCTGGTAAGCGCCAACAGGAACGGCATCCTACCCCCCGTAGCGTTCGTTTTAAAGACAAAAGCAGCCATACATACTTCTGGCTACATAATTTGTGATCTCCAGAAATGCATACAGGGCTACTTTTTCAGAATGAGCCAGTGTTGTTTATTTGTGTACTGTTTAGGGATTAAAGTATTTTTTATTTAATTATTTACTTTTTAAAACTTTATCCCATCCTCAGCTGCATCCCATATCAATTCATGCATCTAACATTACCACACACACACACACACACACATACAAACACACAAACTATGATAATTCTAGGCGAAATTAAATGTCATCTGATGGCCATCTATTGAAGTAACCGGATCTCTTCTGGCTGCATTATGGGCTGCAGTAATGGGACACCCTTCTGCTGCTTTGCATAGTTTTGCTGGAAACGTATAAGAATTTCCAAGGCAAATCTGTCGCCGAGTGTGTGGGCAGAACAACAAACACGACTGTTCACCAGTCATGCTTCACTCTCTGCCAATCAGAAATAACATACAGACTGGAGACCACGACAGTTCATTGAGCAACTCCTTTCTCAGTCACATGAGCATCTTATTTTGTGTGTGTATGTGTACAGTTAGGCGACGCAGTGGCGCAGTAGGTAGTGCTATCACCTCACAGCAAGAAGGTCGCTGGTTCCAGCCTCGGCTGGGTCAGTTGGCATTCCTGTGTAGAGTTTGCATGTTCTCCCTGTGTTCGCATGGGTTGTTTCGGTTTCCCCCACAGTCCAAAGACATGTGGTACAGGTGAATTGGGTAAGCTAAATTGTCAGTATTGTGTGAGTGTGTGTGGATGTTTCCCAGACTGGATGGGCATCCGCTGCGTAAAAACGTGCTAGAAAAGTTGGCGGTTCATACCACTGTGGCGATCCCGAATTAATAAAGAGACTAAGCCGAAAAGAAAATGAATGAATGAATGTGTACAGTTAAAGTCAGAATTATTAGCCCTCCTGAATTATTAGCTCCCCTGTATATTTTTAATAGAAAGAAGATTTTTTCAACACATTTCTAAACATAATAGTTTTGATAACTCATTTCTAATAATTAATTTATTTTATCTTTGCCATAATGACAGCACATAATGTTTTACTCAATATTTTTCAAGATTAAATGATATTAGATGACATTTAAAGGCTTAAATGGGTTAATTGTGAAAGTTAGGGTAATTAGCCAAGTCATTTCATAACAGTGGTTTGTTTTGTAGACAATTGAAAACAAATACTGCTTAAGGGGGCTAATAGTATTGACCTTAAAATGGTTTAAAAAAATTAAAAACTGCTTTTATTTTAGCCAAAATAAAACAAATAAAACTTTTTTCCAGAAGACAAAATATAATAAGAAATACCTTGAAAAGTCCTTGCTCTGTTAAACATCATTTGGGAAATATTTTTTAAAAACATAAATCACAGGAGTGCTAATCATTCTCTCTTTAACTGCGTGTGTGTGTTTTTTTTAGATCATTTTCGTCTGTGTTGCATTCAATTTACAATTTCAGTTTGACTAACAACACCAGAGTTTGTTTGGAAGTGGATCAAACTCCATGTTTTCAGCAGTCTCTAATTCACTTAATCTTCTGAATAAGTGAATTTGAGACTGCTGAAAACTTGGAGTTTGTTCTGATGGTGCAGAGTGAATACTGTTGGGTCTTTTGTACTTTGTACTTTCTCCAGAAGAAAAAATATCAGACATGCTGTGAAAATCTCCTTGCTCTGTTAAACATCATTTGGGAAATATTTTTAAAAGGGAAAAAAATCCCAGGAGGGCTAATAATTTTGTAATTTTTTAATTCAGTTGTATATGATGACTATACTGTACATAGGACATCCTCCCAAAATATTTTATTAATTTAACATTTACGTTTATGCATTCAGCAGACTATTTCATCCAAATTAAATGACAATTATACTTAAGCAGGAAGGATGTGTTTTATTTATTAATTTATGTTTACATCCATACATCAAATCAGTTGTAGATTTAATTTTTTATTATTATTTTACATCAGTCCATCTGTTGTCTAAATCAGTCATTAAATGTTTTATTTATAATTTTCAAACAGATGCTTTTATTCAAAGTGACTAAAACAGGAGCATTGCAATTTGTCAAATGCCTATATTTTATTTGATTGTACTTCTGCACATTTAGCAAATGCTTTTATCCACTGCAACTTTGTGTACCTTTAAGGAATCAAAATAATTATTTATTACATTTTTTACATTTTAAATGTTTTCTATTTGAGCTACACAGTGGCTCAGTGGTTAGCACTGTCACCACACCAAGAAGGTCGCTGGTTCGAGTCCCAGCAGGGTCAACTGTCATTTCTGTGTGGAGTTTGCATGTTTTACACGTGTTGGCATGGGTTTCCTCTGGGTGCTCCAGTTTCCCCCACAGTACAAAGACATGTGCTATAGGTGAATTGAATAAACTAAGTTGGCCGTAGTGCATGTGTGTGAATGAGTGCGTTTGGATGTTTCCCAGTTCTGGGTTGCAGCTGGAAGGCTATCCGCTGTGTAAAACATATGCTGGATAAGTTGGCGGTTCATGCCGTTGTGGTGACCCCTGATGAATAAAGGGACTAAGCCAAAGGAAAATTAATTGTTTCCCTTTTGGCAGATAATTTTGTCCAAAATGATTTAAGATTATTTTTTTTTCACAAGTAAAATATTCATTGTCTACTTTACCATGTTGTAATTTAATTGTATTTTATTTTATTATTTTTGTATTTTTATTTTATTTTTAATTTATTTTACAATGCCAGATTTTTTTTGTTTAAAAATTAAAAATTTGTTTTACTTCTATGGTTTTATCCAAAAAGACAAATATCTTGTAGTGCAACAGCAATTTATAAAATATATTTTATATATTTAATTTAATTTGTTTATAAAAAAATATGTACACTCTAAAAAATATAAACTTTTTTTATTCTTTTATTTTTTTTTATATTTCTTTTACATTTTTTATTAAATTTATAGGACCAAATCTAACCCAATGTTTGGGTTTGTCCATATTTTACGCAATTTGTGTTGGAATATTTCCCAGTATGGGTTGCAGCTGGAAGGGCATCTGCTGTGTAAAACTTATGCTGAGGTAGTTGGTGGTTCATTCCACTGTGGCGACCTCTGATAAATTCGGGAGTAAGCCGAACAGAAATTAATTAATGTCAATTAATCAATGAATAAAGCAGTTTAGAGTGTATGTAGTATTTATCCATGTACGGTAATAACATCAAAGAGTTTTTTCTCAAAAACTAATTTCTTCTTCTACTTCCTCTAGTCTGGTTGGATCAGCATGGAGCTTAAGGATGCCCGTTGACGCCTGTATTCGTCCCCTGTCCACTCTGTCATGGAGTCAGACCCGAACGCCCTCCGCGACCCCTACAAACCAGACATGGGTGACTCCGAGCTACCCGATCTGGAGTGTGCCATCTGCTTCTGCCAGTTCAACAATGTCTTCAACACCCCGAAGGTTCTGCAATGCAAGCACACCTTCTGTCTGGAGTGCCTCGCCCGGATGAACATCAAATCCAACCAACCCGACACCATCCAGTGCCCGCTTTGCCGTTCATACACCCCTTTACCAGATTTGGGACTCCCAAAACTGGCCAATAACTCGACAGTGCTGTCTTATCTCCCTTCTGCAATGCAGCATGTCTACAGCATCCGTTTTAACAGAAACAAGGGAAAACTGCAGGTTAAGCGAGTGCCCAGTTCTGTCCCGATACACACACACACTGTCAGTCAGAGTTTGGATGTGGGCATGCCGGCTGGTATGCAGGGATCATCAGGAGAGGGCAGGGAGAGGTCTTTACTGATGACCATCCTGCGGACGCCGCTCTGCAAGGCTTTTTTAATGAGCACGGTGGCCATAATAGCTGTCGTTCTCACTATTACTATTATAATACTGCAGCAGAAGCGCTAAAAGAGGTCTGCATGCTTTGAGGGTACCCCAGAGATCTGCTCTATTAGTGTTAAAAGAATAAAAGTACATAGTTCACCCAAAAATGATAATGTTCTCACTATTTACCAGGGCTGCACAACCAGGAGCTACAGAACGTCTCGGTTATGAATGTATTCCATGTTCCCCGAATAGAGAACGAATACGTGTGTCTAGTTAAAGACACTATTAGGAGATCGCTAGATGACCAACAGTTTCTTTATCTAGCCACACATTGGAGTTTCAATGAAGGGTAACGTCTCGGTTACGAACGTAACTCTTGTTCCCCGAATAGGAAATGGAGACAAGTGTCTAGATAAAGACACTATTGGGAGATCGCTACATGACCAATAGTGTCTTTATCTAGACACACGTCGGAGTTTCCATGAAGGAGAACGTCTTGTTACAAACAAAACCTACGTTTTCTGAATAGGGAATGGAGACGTGTGTCTAGATAAAGACACTAATGGGAGATCGCTAGATGACCAGTAGTGTCTTTATCTAGACCAGGGATAACCAAACTTGTTCCTGGAGGTCCGGTGTCCTGCAGATTTTTTTCCAACCCTAATCAAACACACCTGAACAAGCTAATTTAAGGTCTTACTTGGTATACTTGAAACACCCAGGCAGGTGTGTTAAGGCAAGTTGCAGCTAAACCCTGCAGGGCACCAGACCTTCAGGAACGAGATTGGTGACCCCTGATTTAGACACACGTTGGAGTTTCCATAAAGGGAAACGTCTCGGTTACGAACGTAACCCTTGTTCCCCGAATAGAGAACGGAGACATGTGTCTAGATAAAGACACTAATGGGAGATCGCTAGATGACCAATAGTGTCTTTATTTAGACACATGTCTGAGTTTCCATGAAGGGGAACGTCTTAGTTAACCTAAGTTTGCCGAATAGGGAACGGATACGTGTGCCTAGAGAAAAACACTGTTGGGAAATCACTATATGACCAGTAGTGTCTTTTTCTAGACACACGTCGGAGTTTCCATGAAGGCGAACGTCTTAGAGTGCTTTCACACCTACAATTTTGTTTCGGAACCTGTCTCGTTTGCCCAGTTAGCGCGGTTCGTTTGGCATATGTGAAACCAGCAATCTTGCTAGGATCCGCGCCAAATCAATCGCTCCGAGATCGCTTGAATGAGGTGGTCTCGGCTCGATTGAAACGAACTCTGGCGCGGATCGATTGCAGAGAGAAAGCGATACCATCCGAGCGCGGTTATATCACAGTGTTTTATGGATATGTAATAGGCATACAGCTATATGAAGAGAGAATTATGAGTAGGGCGGGAAGTTTCGCGAGTCTCCTGGATACCCGCAAATGAGTGATAATCTCCTGTTAATCTCGTGTCTCCCTCCTGGTCCTCAAATAGGCTACGTCGCGCACCCTTCATACCCCTCCCCACCGTAACTCTCCTCACTCTTCAGACATGTCGCACGCATCTTGTCAAACACCACCAAACCACCACCTCCACTGAAAGCTGAGCGGGACTCTGCAAAATAAACTCTGTCACTGACCAATGTGAGGAGAGTTTACTCGCACGTGACTTGTTTTAGCTCTTTTGGTCCGATTATAATACTTTGCAGTGTGAAAGCGAACCGCTCCAAGAGCAACAAAGTAACAATTTTAATCCCTGTTTCGGAACAACTGAATCGATTCACAGGTGTGAAAGCACCCTTAGTTACAAACGCAACCTACATTTCCCAAATAAGGAATGAAGATGTTTGTCTAGACAAAGACAATATTGGGAGATTGCTAGACAACCAAAAGTGTCTTTATCTAGACACATGTTAGAGTTCCTATGAAGGCGAACTCATGTGATTTGTAGATTCACTGCTAAATTCAACTATAATATAGCGAAAGTTTATCATTTACTTGTGTTTTAAGGCCAGTCACTGAAATAATTTCAAGAGAGTTTAAAACATTTAGGCGCAAGAAATTATGATGTTTGGAGGTGAAACCAAAATTAATAATTTTCAAATATTTATACAATTTATGTAAAAAAAAAATGTTTTGTTTCTAGTGCTAATATCTACACTTCAAAGCAAAAATAAGATTATTATTGTTTTAAGGAATTACGACTTGATTCTTCTAAAGGTGAAAACTACAATATATAGTAATATCAAATTGTGCAGCCCCCACTATTTACTCTTTTTTTAAGTGAGTATGAGTTTCTGTCTTCTGTTGATCCATAAAAGATGTTTTGAGGAATGCTGAAAACCTGCAACCACTGACTTTCCAGCCACACTTTATGGTATCACTTTATTTTGATGGCCCCTTTAAATACATTTTGTTGAATTTAAGTTACATTGCATCTACATGCCAACTAATTCTTACTAGATTATAAGTAAACTATTAGGTTGGGTTAGGGTTAGTGTAAGTTGACATGTACTTGCAAAGTTTCTTACAGTCAGTTAAATGTCTGTTGAAGGAGCGTATCGGCAGATACTAGGCAGACAGGCTACTATCACTCAAATGAAAATGAATTGGCATGTAGTTGCAATGCAACTTTAAGTCAACAAAATGTGCACCATCAAAATAAAGTCTTTCCAACTTTACAATAAGGTTGTATTAATTAATGCATTTACTAACTGGAACAATCAATGAGTAATTCATTTTTATTGTATTTATTCATGTTTGTTAACATTAATGGAACTAAAGTTGTTCGTCTTTAACTCACGGTGCGTTATCTAATGTTAACAAGCATGAATTTGGATTTTAATAAGGCATTAGTAAATGTTGAACTATGATTTATGAATACTGTACAGGTGTTGCTCATTATTAGTTCATGTTAATAAATGCATTAACTAATGAGACCTTTTTGTAAAGTTTGACCAACTTTCCATTATAGGAAAAACTAATACTATGAAAGTCAATGGTTACAGGTTTCCAACATTCTTCAAAATATCTTCTTTTGTGTTCAACAGATGAACTCATTAAGGTTTGGAATGAGTAAAGGATGGGTAAATGGTTACAGAATGTTCAGTTTTGGGTGAACTGTCCCCTTGAAGGTCTTTGCACGCTGAAGTCAGCATTTATTTTTTCATCTTTCATATTCATATCCTATGATTTCATTAATACTGTGTATTAATTAATCTGTTGCAAAAAAAACAACCCCAACAATCATAGAATAATTTGGAGTCAAAGCAGTGATGTTTGTTATCTTCTCTCTTTAAAAAATGATAAATAAAGAGGAAATATTGAGCCGTGTGGGATTATCCCGAGATGCAAAGTTCATTTCAGGAACTCAGTGGCATTTTGATGCTTTTCTGGGATACTGAAACCACAAAACACAAAAAGTCCGTAAACGAATCCTGAATTGAGATGGACAGCACGTCAAAGCTATGGACACACACACACACAGTTTAGTTTTTCTGAATTGTGGGGACGTTGCATAGGTTTCCATTGTTTTTATACTGTACAAACTGTATTATCTATCCACCTACTCGAACCTATCCCTAAACCCAAATCCCTCTTATTTTTTATGACAAGCAAAAGTAAAAATCTGTAATCTGTGTGTGATTGGCACAATGTAAGAAGGAATGATTTTTTAGACAAATTTCAGAGTGTGATGAACTTATCAGTGCTAGCAGGAGGCCCAACATCAAATTTTCTTTCATTAGGGGCCAACGTTTCGAGCTGTGACACTGTGATAGCAAATAAGCATCAGATTAGATTATCACACTGTCAGTACGGCAGAATGAACAACAAAAACAAACATGCAACATGACGACGTGTTGTTCTGAATGTTTCCATCTTATGCAAATGAAAAATGTCCCTGGCATGATGAGTGTCTCGACTGCTACGTATGCTTCACCAAGGAGAAGGATAGAGGTTATGGCCTGGTAAAAAGTACTGTGACTGAATTCAGGCTACATGGCTGAACACTACTGAAGCTTGTTTTGGGAATTATGGACAATGTTGTTGAAGCCTTACTGTATATATATGTTAATATTACTTTATATTGATATTAATTCCTTTGAAATAAATGATGCTGAGGGAGTGTTTACATGACACCATTTTCAGCTGGAAAACCTTTTCACGAGTTCACACTCACAGATATTTGACTGAATAGAAAATGCGTATTTGGCGTGCTGTCCGGGGGAGAGGGCTCTGAGCTTGAGAAGACACCCTAACTTGTGTTATTCCCCTTATCAGGATAAAGAGAGATAGGGTCCGAGCACAGTGTCTAGCCCGGCTCCAGAACGCTCCCACCTCAGATTTGAATTGGTGTCTGGTTTAATAGTGTGGAGGGACGCTGAAGTCGAGAGAAACAGAGGTATGACGTGTTTGACTATTTATAAGGGTTTGCTCTTGGGCTGATTGGATAATAGAATGATTGTGTGTGTGTGATGAATTAGCCTCGTTAAAGACTGATCGTGCTCCTCCCGAAATTTGTTTATAAAACATCACTTATTGGTTTTCATTTATATGACAGCTGCATTTTGGGGGCCTAAAATGTTCAAAATCAGGTTTCAAAGTACGTTTTTTTAATTTTTTAGAAAATGATAATACTCTCATCTGTGTAAACATTACAAAAACATACCACAAACCACAAACTTTCTTAAGGTGCACGGATATGTTTGTGGAAATGCGACAAAAAAACATTCTGTGAGTCAAAATCATCTTTTTATACATGCCAAACCCATTAGAATATTAAGCAAACATGATGTTTAAAACATTTTAGTAAATTTCCTTCTGTGAATATATCAAAATATAGTTATTGATAAATAATATGCATTGCTAAGAACTTAATTTGGACAAATTTTATATATATATATATATATATATATATATATATATGTATATATATATATATATATATATATATATATATATATATATATATATATATATATATATATATATATATGGGGCAGCACGGTGGTGCAGTGGGTAGCACAATCGCCTCCCAGCTAGAAGGTCGTTGGTTTAAGCCTCAGCTGTGTCAGTTGGCGTTTCTGTGTGGAGTTTGCATGTTCTCCCCATGTTAACGTGGGTTTCCTCCAGGTGCTTCGGTTTCCCCCACAAGTCCAAACACATGCGCTGTAGGTGAATTGGGTAGGGTAAATTGTCCGTAGTGTATGAGTGTGGTGAAGGAATGTGAATGGATGTTTCCTAGTGATGTGTTGCAGCTGGAAAGGCATCCGCTGCGTTAAACATATGATGAATAAGTTGACCGTTCATTCCGCTGTGGCGACCCCAGATTATTAATGGGACTAAGCCGGAAAAAAAAAAGAATGAATGAAGGAATGTTTTAAGGGGAGTCGATGCCTCATTTAGAGGAGCCGAGCTCCCTCGTAATTTGCACCCTGGCAGTAGGTCTACATGAAGGAGTAGGGTGAAGCTGAAGGCCTGGAGATCCAACTGCATGCTTTTAGACCTGATTCATTTTCTTTTTGGCTTAGTCCCTTTATTAATCAGGGGTTGCCACAGCGGAATGAACCGCCAACTTGTCCATCATATGTTTTACGCAGCGGATGCCTTTCCAGCTGCAACCCATCTCTGGGAAAAGTAACTGAACAATGTTTACAAA